TAATATACATACATGTATACATAATAATTGAATTTGGTATTTGTCATTATTTGCCGGGTATATACGAATTTATCCCTTTATCAAACTGCTATTTTCCGGGTGCTTGTTTTGTACGGCATGGACATTATAATTGAATACTCGTTTATTAAAGTAATTTTAACAAATTTTGGGTTTTTATTTTGGTCAAAATTTTATTTTATACAAGATTATAAATATTAGACTCTTTTTTCATTTGTCATTAAAAAAAAAAGAAAAACACCAGAAAACAAGTAAAATACGAAGCCAACCAATATCCAAATTAAACATGCTATCTTACATGTTTTGTTTTGGTTTTTTTCGGGGGGTGGGGGGGGGGGGGGGGGGTTGGGGGGAGGGGGTGATCATTTTTATTTCAATTATCTTGAATATCTAAAATACACAATACATGGTATTTGTTGCTAAGGTTTACATATTTACGTATTTACTCACGAATTTGACAACTATTTTTTGACATTTTATTTGAAAATCGTCGTTTTTTAGCGACTCATTATGCAGCAACGAATGGAGACTTGAGGAGCCTTTTATGTTTTATGCTGTATAAACAATATTCTTTAACGGTTATAAATTTCGATTTGTTTTACTTGCTAACTAACGAAGTATTAATAAAAGCTTGTGTCTAGTATTTTTACAGACCTCGAATAAAAATTCCTGTCATTACGGAACATAATCTTTATAGATACAATTTACCAAAAAGAAGTAAAAAATACATTACAGTTTTTATGTAAAAGTTATTTTCGATCATCAATATTTCTTTCCATTTGGAAACTTGCTATATTTTTATGATTGCAATAGAGTATATTTGATATTAAAACATGAACAAATATACATTGCAAATTGAATGATATTCAATGAATTTTAATCTCATAAAACTACATGTCATAGTTACAGTTAAAATTGATTTTTACAATAACAAAGTCTAATTGTCAAGTCCGATTTAATCAATTGAGTATACATTTTTTAAAGGTTAAAAGTTGTAGAATTTTACCGAAAGCCGTTTATAAAGCTAGGTAAATTTGTACGCAATTCCGAAAAAAAAACATATTTCATTTTAGTTGTAATTTATGCTCATTTAACCCTCACATATATTTTATTTTGGACAATTGAACAAAGCAAACACAACTCACGAAAGGACATGAATATAATTGAGAAATCAGGGTATTACAAACAAGCTGGAATAAAGGGAGACAACCCTTATTAATCTGCACAAACAATTTTATGTCAAAATTGATAGATTTACCTGGTACTGGATGCTACTGAAAATTCCCAATCAACTATTTTATCGATGAACTGACGTGTACTTAAATGTACTTTACAGTACTGGATTTAACGCTACGGGTTTTTTCTTAATTACCTAAACCAGTACTGACTGGTACTTAATCGATCGCGATAGTTAGTGTACTGAACATGTACTGAACAACTGAAAAAGATCTTGACATTTTTCCTTGCGGTAAATTCAGGCATTTAAGAGTAGTTCAGTTTAAAATGACCGTTTCAGTAGTAAAACCCGTTACTAGTGATTGTAATTCAAAGTCGCTGGACCATGATCTTGTGTGCAATGCCTAGAAATAGTCGACAAACTGTACTGAAAGTAATGCAACTTTGTATTAAATATAAATGATCTATTACAAGTAAATGCTATCAAACTAACTTAAGCAGAAAACTTAACAATTGTTGACACCACTGCCGCAGCCGTTGCTGGAAAAGCAATCCCTTTGTCGAGGCGAGACAACAACTTAACACACTCATCATCCAATAAACTATTACAGATTCATAGTCAGATCATTGACAATTTGATTTTCTGGACATGTTGGAAAAGTGAATACCTCACATTACTTAGAGAACAACATCGAAACAATGGAGTAGACAAACAGAACATTAATATCCCAGAGGTCGTACTGTTACATGATGAAACTTCAAGAACAACTTGGAATGTAGGGATTATCGACAAATTGATTCAAGGACGAGATGGATTAAGCATCTGATCAGCTATTTTACGGACTAAAAAGGTCTTACTTCTAGACCTATTAGCAATTTAAGTTATATCTTCTAGAACAAACATCTTATGAATATACAGGAGTCAACAAGACCATGTAATGAAGAATAATCCCCCAACAAGAGGCTGTCAGAAGAGACAGCAAAACGGATTTTCCTGCAGAGGTCGAACCCTGAACAGTTGAGCAAGTATGGACACAACTTTTAAGCTTTAAACAGCTCTGAATTTGGATTGTGATTGAATATTTGATACAGCATATGTTTGTGACACAAACTAAAAGTGGTCAATGAACTGAAAGATTTGAAAGTGGACATTTACCTATTATGGTCCAATATCCAAAATCTAAGTACATTAATAGAATTGTCAACGTATATTTGTTCCACCTAACAGGAGTACAATTGAAAACTTTGTTATAAACAATGTCATAATATATGTTCCTTTTGGAACAAATATTCCATACCCTTTATTCCGTAAGGAACAAATACTGTAATAATTGTTCCAATGGAAATAATATTTCAGAATATTTCTTCCACTTGGAACTTATATTATGAAGGAACTTCTATCTCGTGACAGAATCAGCATATCAAAGAACCCTAAGAATTAAATTTTTGATGAAATACTTCTTCGCTAAACCATTTCTGTTCGAAGGGAAATAACTCAAACTTTATTTCCATGAACCAAAAATATAAATCTAAAATTATATATGATTTAACTATAGTTCTCTAAAATTAGATATGATGTAATATTTATTTTCAAATTATAATCAAATATAATTAATTGTTTTCAAATAAATCTGTCACTCCAATTATAACTGGGTGATTGACAATTACCAGATGGTGTGTTATCTTGATAAAAGGTGAAAATCATTTAAAAACAGTTAGAGTAATCAAACTTTATATATATACAATCATGAATTTAGTTAATAGTTAAAAAAAAATTTTTTTTTCGTTTGTAACAAACTAATATAGATCTGCAACTCTAAAACTTTATCTACACAATGTTATATAATGAAATATATCTTTTAATAAAAATAGATTATTATCTAATGAGTTGCAAATCTGGAACCCAAGTAGGATCAAGTAAAAATTAAAATTAACATATGCAACAAAAATTAAAAACTTTTAAAAAATGAGTTATTTCTCCCTTTGTACAGGAATGGATTAATTCATCAAAAATTGAATTCTTGGGAAAGGGCTATAACTGAACAACGAGAAAAGCTAAAATCGTGAAAATTGAACTTGACCTTCATTTAGTCTTAGGAAACAACATATCTAAATTTGAAAAAATTTCTTCAAAGCGTTTTCATGTAAATGAACGGACACTGTTTGGCAGCCGTCCGCCCGCCCAATTACCCGCCCGCCCGCCGTACATTCCCAAATCAATAACTGATTTTTACTTCGAAAATCCGGTTAATAAGAGTGGAGACCTAAGCAAAAGAGAAATAAAATCGGGACCAAAGAGATCGTCGGGTGAGATTACTGTGAACTATGTATCAGAATTTTATGGACAATTAACTGTGTTTAAGTAATGAGTTAAATCGTGCATTATTTAGTCCATTTTTGATATCATCCTTTTGACGTAGCTTGGTACTTATGCATCTGCCATTAGAAGGGGTTGCTGAGGCCATTTTTTGTATTCCTTGCTTTCAAATCAGGAATATGACAGTTGGCTTCCATTCGTTTGATGTGTTTGAGCTTTTGATTTTGCCATTTGAATTTTCCTTGGAGTTTGGTATTTTTGTTATTTTATATTGTATTATAGACTGAGAAATCCTTTTAACTGTATTTGTGTGCATAATGAAAGACAGTTAAAGATATGTAAAGTTTTAATATGTATCAGAGACAGTAATTCAAATTGTTAAATAAAGGCAACAGTAGTATACCGGTGTTTAAAAGTCATAAATCGACAATATTGAGAGAAAACAAACTCGGGTTACAAACTAAAACCGAGGGAAAACATCAACTATAAGAGGAAAACAAAGGAACAACAGGAACACTGAAGTGCTACAAAAAAAAAACGGCAACATACTAGAAACGAACTATTTGATAACAACTGCCATATTCCTGATTCGGTACAGGACATTTTAAGACAAAATGGTAAGTTGAACCTGGTTTAATGGCACACGCAAGAACATTCATCACAGAGAAACGCAAAAACAAATAATATAATAGTCGACACAACATGAAAACCGCAGAACACCACAGGATATCAAAAACAGTGACGCGCTTACGTAACTAACATGCAATCTTGAACTTTATACAATATTTTCACAAAACTAGTCCAAACAATGTTCATGGCAATGATGTTTTGGAAAGGCAATTTTATAATTATTTAGACTACAAACGATAAAACATAACAGATTATCAAACCAAAACCATAACAAAAACATCAAAAAAATAGATACATGAATGTTGGATGTACAAAATACCGGGACACGTCGTATTGCAATGCAAATTCACACTCAGTATAACAGTCACATTCGGGAATATGACAATGAAACTTTCTTAATTTATTTTCATTACCGGGTATATTGTAATTTAATTAATTTGCGCGCCCCCTTGATATTCCGTATTGCACATACTAGTATTAGATGTTCGCACTTATGTAACCACTCTTTATGTATACGACATCACCACTGTTGTGACAATACCTACTTGTTTGTTCCAGTACAAGTATCATTGCAATCAGATGTCTTTCTTACATAGCCTTAATGTGTATCTACAATTTCTATACCAATCTATGAACTTTTTTTTATAATAAATGCAACCCATTGAGGCACTTTTTAGATCTTGAATTGCAGATCAGATTTCCTTAGTTCAGTCTATTAATTTATAACAACTTTTAGAAATAAGCAAAAAGGGTGAATTTATAACTGATTATCTGCTTGGCATTAATACATTAACTTAACATTATAAGATAAAAATATTGCACACTTATAATTGTATCCTGGCAGATCTAGGTAACTTACCTCCTATCCTTGTCCACTCATTTGATTTGATTTTGCATTGTCTGCGATGGATTTCTATACCATTTGTACTTTCCAAGTTAGTGAATTCCTCTCCAAAAAGTCTGTGTACTAATGATGTTTTTCCTGCCCCTTTTTTACCCACTATTACTAAATTTATGTCCCTTTTCTTTTCAGAACCAGACTTTAAAGCCCTCAAGTAAATATCTATTGAATGTTGGTCCATCTTCCTCATCTCTTCTGGAATTCTCTCATCTACAAAAATATATATATATATATTCTATGTTTGTGGTTTTTAACTAATCAATTGGAAAGCTGTTTTATTCATAATTCTAGTCACAGTCCTTTCAACGAAGGCAGTTTTCCTATGAAGAAGATTCGTTTAACAGTAAGTACTTCCCAGTAAAGAAACTTTTCCCCAAGAACATTTTTCTCATTGGTTTTTAAGCCAGCATCATGCTGTACGCAAAAATATGTACCAGTACATTAGGTGTTGGTGAGTTTTAATTGGCTGAAAGACAAATCACCAGATTTGTTTGTATATTTCTCATTAAAGAAGTGGCAGCCAAAAACTATGATGAGCTCCCTCCTCTCCTCCTAATTACTCGACACCATTGTTCCTCAACTTGGTGCAAACTGTTATAATTTTAACAAACAAGTACAAGATATCTCCATTGCTTTACTGATAATGTCTGGACTTATGTTGAAAAGGTTTTACTATAAGTATCACAAAAAATTAACATTTTCCGTAATTCATATCGTGAGGTCAAGGTTAGAGGAAATCTGCCAGACAGACATATATACCTTTTGAATGGTTTTACACTAGTCATTTTCGGGGCCCTTTATAGCTTGTTGTTCTGTGTGAGCCAAGTCTCCGTCTTGAAGGCCGTACTTTGACATATAATGGTTTACTTTTACAAATTGTGACATGGATGGAGAGTTGTCTCATTGGCACTCATACCACATGTTCTCATATCTACTTACAATCATTCCATACATCTAACATGTCTAATACAATTGACTTTGTTCTTGTAGTATCTGAAAAGGTCAGATAATCTCCTACAGAAAGACATGTTCATAATTTAGTTGACCTACTGCTTATAGTATCAACAAGTAATGCGCTCTGGTTTCTATTGCACCACATAAACAAAGTGGTGAGGCCACTATATTTTTTAACAGAAAGATGCTCATTTAGAGGACTGCATTGCATACAAAGTCTTGCGTGATAAATTTGACGTAATCGCTTACCAATGTAATAATGATATAGGGGTTTAGTTACACGAGACTGACCTGAAAGCTCCCACTGAAGAATTATTTTTTATCTCTCTCAGGGAGGAGATTCCATGAACATACAGTTGCAGGCAAATAACTCTTTGAATAAAAGGCTGTTCTTGTTTGAACAGTGGGGATTTGAAGTGATGAATTTCGTGTAATATGATTCTGTATAGTTGCATGGGATACTGAAACTAAGTTCAATAAATATTCCGGAGTAATATGTTTTTTCGTCTTGTAGAAATAAACATATTTATGGGCCTCCCTTCGATCTGTAAGCCTTTCCCAACTTGTTTCCAGGTATAATCTCTCTAATGAAACCAGCCTAGTACCCCCATTTACGATCCTAGCAGCCTGTTCGTACTTTTTTCAATCTTATAAATCAAAAGATTTGTGTTGTTGCCCCAGATTACATCAGCATATTCTGATACTGGTCTTATATATGTTAGGTATATTGTTTCGAGTGTTCGTTTGTCTACGCTGAATTTATATTTTCGTAAAACATTCAATTGTTTGCAAGCCTATCGGTTATTACATAAATATGTTTTTGCCATGTGCCATCATTTGAAATATGTAATCCAAGATATTTATCGGTGGATACCTCAGTTACAGTTACATTGTCCATGTTAAAGTTTTGGATGAGCAGGTTTGTAAATTTTCTATAGATTGCCATGATCTCTGTTTTATGAGGGTTAAAGGTCAATAGCCAATTTCAAAACCATCTATGGATGTTTGCAAGATCACTTTTCAAGTAGTTAACTTAATGTTAGCAAATGGCCATGAAAATATGGTCATGGTTAGATGAACAATATAAGTGTTTCTCGTTTCTCGTTTTTTATATAGATTAGACCGTTTGTTTTCCTGTTTGACTTTTTCTACCGCAAACCCCTATATCGAGTTCCTGATTTAAGCCTCCAACGAGTTCCAATGACTTTAAAATAACATTTCAATTCACCAATAACATGTTCAAAGGAGACTCGGTATTCTGCAATGAGTTTGTTGACCCTCCCACACTGTCTCTTTTTTGTGTTCTGGCTTTCTGGTTATCTGCTGTCTGATGTATATCGTGTATGGCTGATGAAATGATTCAACCTCTTTCTCTAGCCGAGTATGAGGAGGCACCCACTCCTGTATGAGCAGTAAAGGAACAAGAACTTTAAAAATTGGATAATGGGTATGACAATGAGAATATAAATGCAGCGATGCTACAGCGAAAGCTGAACAAATTTCAACAGATGATGATACAGCCAGAACTGCAGATAATATTTATGATGCTCTTGTTAATCTTGAATCTACAAGAAAACACCCCCACCTCCCAAAACAAATTAGTAACACAAAATTTGTAATGCAATTGGTTCGCAGTAACCATGAAAGATCTGAAACATTTATTCCAAAACAGGTTCCAAAATTACTTAAAAGCCTCGGATTGACTAAGATTATTCTGGCATCCGTAAAACAATAATACAGAAAACTTAATGTCTAAAATAAATTAACATTGTCTGTGCCTGTATGTACAATTATTGCCAGATTTTTATCAAATTTATATCAAAGGTGTATATAAGGAGTGTCTCGGACACTTCGATAATCAGTGCTGATCAACAACTTTTAAAAGAGATATGTCTCTTGGAAATATAAATTCTATAGAAAGTTGCTTTCATGTGCACAATTCTTGGCAGGTATTTATAAAATTCCTTGTATTACCCTTAGACAAAAACAATATGTAAAACGCAGGGACATTGGATCTCTGATCATAATAGTTTGCACTACTACGGAGAGCCTTAAGTGCCATGTAAATATTGAAATATTTTCGTTTGACAGATATTTAATCTGGTGCGTTCCAGTTTGAAAAATCGTGTGCACGATTTTGAAACTCGTGTGTACGACTTTAAAACTGGTGCGAACGACACGTCTTTTAAAACTGGTGCGCAAAACTTTGAAATTCGTGCACGCGACTTTCAAAATTGTGCGTATAACTTCTAAACAAAGTTTGAGTGACTCTATACGAACTTGCGCACGAGTTTGAAAGTCGTGCGCACCATTTTTGAAAGTTGTGTGCACAATTTTTCAGACTGGTGCGCACAAATAAGTTAAATGGCCGGCAAACGAAAATAGTTATATTTACATTGCACTTAAGGTGCTCCGTACTATTTTTCCAAGACTATACACAGTGGAAAAAATCGTCACAAAACAAAAAAATTAATAAATGGAGAATGTGTCCATGGGACACAGATGATGCCCCTGCTTGCATATCATATAAAGTTATAAAGGGGTATAACTGATGAACGGTAAAAGTTGACACTACTCAAATTTGTACTTGATCTGTGTTTTGTGGTAATAAGCATTGTGTATAAGTTTCATAACATTTGGTTGAGGCAAACTAAAGTTAGAGAACAGAAACCAACTTTGGGACGTACGTACGTACGTACGTGCAGACAGACAAGGGTAAAACCTAATGTCCCCTCCGCTATGGCGGGGGAATAAAAATTAAATAAAATAAAATGCTCCGCTGGGGCGCAGCTTGATACGACCGCAGAGGTTGAACCCTGAACAGTTGGGGCAAGTATGGACACAACATTCAAGCTTGATACAGCACTGAATTTGGATTGTAATTAAATATTTGACACAGCATAGGTTTCTGACACAGAATGAAAGTGGTCTAAGAACTTAAAAATTTTCAATTTACCTATTCATACATGTGATGGACTGTGAAACTCAGATCAGGAGATTGGGAAATTTTGGTCAGGAGATTAGGACTCAGATCAGGAGGTTTTTAATCGACATTAATTTTGTTGTAAATGTAACCGTGTGCTGTAAAAATGGTCTTTTAAAGTGTGTTTTCTTCAACTTTCCAACCAATTTATTATGTTTATAGTACCCTTGTACTTATAAAGTTTCTCCGTCTTTATATTCTACATGTTCAATCTAACATTGTTTTTTTCCAGTATGTTCTTTAAATTTTTTACTTCATATTCTATAAAACAATCATTGCAACCAGAACATTTGTTTAGCTGTCTGCAAATAGTTTTTATTTGCAAACTCAGAAATTCATTCTATCTGTAAGTTAGGGTCATAGTTATTATATAAATTTCAATTTAAGCCTTAAAAGGAAGTATAGAATCCTCAAATAATTTTCAAATTATTATTTTTTTATTTGTCCTAAGACATTTAAAATCATTTAATAACCATCCTTTTATGATTATTTGTTCAATTTATATTTTATTTATATTCTTTTAAAAATTTTCATTATTAAAAGGAAAGTAACTTAAAACAGGATAAATCAAGGGAAGTAACCCAATAAATACACAGTTTTTGTTACACAACGGCAGTTAGCCTGAGGTAAAAATCGTTGCTTACCAGTATGTTTGACACCCAAGCTGACAAGTGAAGCCATATAATTATGCATGTTAATTGATTTACAGGTAAAATATAACTTCAGGTAATGTCAGTTACACCAGATGCCTGAGATGTTATGTTGGGCAGAAATTTTTCATTCATGAAAAATTTCATACACGGGATTTTTTCAACGGGAGGGGGGAGGAGACCCCTGAAAACGGGATTATTGTACTCCCGTCGGGAGGTTCACATGTATGCCTATTCAAACCATATCATTATTATTTGCTTTTATATATAAATCAGAAATAACCAATTTAAAATGGAAAATGTTAAAGAAAAAAAAGGAAACCCCCCCCCCCCCCCCCCCAATTTTTTGAACCCCCTTATGATTCATCGCCCCCAAACTCAATCCCAGCTTTCCCTTTGTGGTATGGTACCTTGCAGTACAATTTCAGAGAGATCCATACACTTGAACACAAGTTATTGTCTGGAAACTAGAAAAATGCTTGTTTTTTGGCCCCTTTTTGGCCCCAAATTCCTAAACGTTTAGGGCAATTACCCCCAAACTCAATTCCAGCTTTCCCTTTGTGATATGGAACCTTGCAGTACAATTTCATAAAGATCCATACACTTACACACAAGTTATTGTC